AGGAGACGACGCGGCTCCCTGGCCCCCTGGGCCTGGCGCACCCGTCCTCCCGGCCTCACCCGGCTACCTGGTCCCCCTCCTCCCGCGGTCTCTCCCGCCGTCTTCCTCCTCTCTCCTCCCTGCTGTCCTGCCTCCTCCGGGCCTGTCCGCCGCCCGAGGGGGTACCTCGTTCTGTGCGCTCCTCCCAGCCCCCCCCCCCCGCCCCTTGCCTTCCTCTGCCCCTCCGCATCCGCATCGCCACCTCCCCCTTCACCTTTGGGCGGTGGCTCTTCTGGCTGGGGCGGCTGAGGGGACTCGATTGGGGTGTTTATTATCCTCCTTCCTAGCAACTATAGCAAGGCCAGCCCAGCCTCAAATCTGCGGAAAGCTAAGGGGAGCAGCCTGCTTCCCAGGCCTTTCCAGTTTGGGCTGGCAGTGGCAGCGGTGGCCGGGGGCCCCCGGCTCTGGGGTTTGGCCTCCCCCGCCTCTGCAGACTACCGTGAGCTGACTGCAGGTGATGGCAGAGAGGAGACATCCAGGCTGGGTGGGGCAGGGAGGCCCAGTGACCCCGTGGGAGCTGTGGGACCGTCCTGACAGCTTTGCCAGTAGGTCTGGGTCTTTCTGGAAGCTAGGCCCCAGGGGTTCTGTGTCCCTGGGGCTGCAGGGCCATTGAAGTCTCACCCCTTGGCCCACAGTCCCTGTGTCTTTAGAAGCTAGACTTTAAGGAAGGGGGGACACCTCAGGTAAGGGGTTCTGGCCCCTTGGGGCTCCTTTCTTCTGAGGGGCCGGGATTTCTCCATCTTTCTCTAGCTTCCTGATGGTGTGCTGTGAGGATGCATGGCCACCTGAGATTTCCTAGATGGACAGAGTTGATCTTGCCCATTGCCCATCTGGAAAGGAGCTGAGAACTGGGTGAGGGTCTCTGTGTTGAGGCCTCTGGTCATGGCTGTTGGATATTGCAGGGCAGTGCCTGCTCCTGGCCCACAGCTGGGTGTGACTGGTGGTGGTGGTGTGTGTGTGTGTGTGTTTTTCTGGGAGGTGAGAGAAGAGGGCTTTGTGTGGCTGTCTCTGCCTCATTGATGGTCCCCACTGGTCCAACTCAGGCGTCCTTCACTTCTCTCCCTCTTAGGTGCACGTTCAAACTCTTGCTGTAGCCCTTCCTTTATTCTGTTCCCTGGGGGCAGTCACTTACCTCTTACATGACACACATTGCTACCTTACCTCTTTTTTGTTTTTGTTTATTTATTTATTTTTTTATTCATTCATTTTTTCGAGACAGGGTCTCACAGTGTGGCCCCAGCTGGCCTGGAACTCACAGAGGCTGGCCTGCCTCTGCCTCCCAAGTGCTGGGATCAAAGGTGTGCGCCACCTTACTGGCCCTGCCTTTACCTTTTGAGTCTTCCAGGTAGTTCTCCACTGGTCATGCTGTTTCTGAGTCTCCTTACTTCCTGTTTTCTTGTGTGTGTGTGTGTGTGTGTGTATGTTTTAAGGTACTGCAGTTCAAACCCAGGGCCTAGTACCTGCCTGGCAAGTGCTGCCACAGAACCACACCCTGCCACTCCACTTCTTTTCTGTAAGCTAGATTGTGACACATGTGGAGTTAGGAATTCCAGATGTCCTCTAGGACTCTTTTTGCAGCACAGAGCTGCTGCCCAGACCCATGCTTGGGTTCATGCTCTGCTCTTCTTTGGGGCAGTCTTTTATTGAGACAGGGTCTCTCTGTAGCCCCAGCTGGCCTCGAACTTGCTATGTAGACCAGGCTGGCCTTGAACTCCTAGAGATCCGCCTGCCTCTGCTGGGGTCAAAGGTGTGAGCCACCACACCTGGCCTCATGCTCTTGAAGCTAATCTCCCATGTTTGAACAAGGCCCTATGTCTTCATTGTATACTGACAGCCAATCCTGAGCTCCAAGGACTCCCTTCTTGCTCCAGGACTCCCAGAGTGTCCTGCTGAGGGAAGCAGACCCTCTGGTCAGAGTGTATATCCTGGGGACCTCAGTGGGTCATGTGGGGTGCTACCTGGAGCTGCTGTTCATACATCACATCATAGGTCACACGGACATGTGGATCTGCACTTCCGTAGTGTGACTGGAGTAAAAACAGAAGGGACATAGGGCCTGGAAGAGAGCCTCAGACTTTGGCAGTACGTGCCTCAGAGCGGCAAGTCTCTGCTGGCCTTGGGCTTGTCCAGAGGACTGAGGTCCAGGCTGGGGATCTCCACTGTTGACCCTCCCCCTTAGGGCCAGACAGGCCTCTGCAGTGCCAAGATGAGTGTCACATCATGGTTCCTGGTGAGCAGCAGTGGCACCCGCCACCGCCTCCCGCGTGAGCTCATCTTCGTGGGACGTGATGAGTGTGAGCTCATGTTGCAGGTGAGTGCCAGCTCCTTCTGGTTAGGATGGTGGGGCAGGGACCTCAGGGTCAAGAAGAGACCCCCAACCCCAGTAGGATTCCCTGGCAAGGAGTTCCCCATGTAGCCCAGACCTAGTCATCACTGCCTGGTCCCTGGACTCACAGGTGGGCATGGGCAGGGGTGAGTGTGTGCTCATGGGCCTGGACTCTTGTCCCTTCCTATCAGACATATTTCTGACAAGTGAGTTCTTAGGGTCGGGGGCCCATGTAAAAAGGTACCCTATGAGCCGGGCGTGGTGGCACACGTCTTTAATTCCCAGCACTCGGGAGGCAGAGGCAGGCGGATCTCTGTGAGTTCAAGGTCAGCCTGGTCTACATAGTGAGTTCCAGGACAGCTGGGGCTACAGGGAGACCTTGGCGCAAAAAGACCAAAAAAAAAAAAAAAAGAAGGTACCCTATGCAGACAGAGCTGAAGAAGCCACCTCGAAAGGTGCTGGAAAGTAGCTAGTCTGTGTCTTTATTGTTCTACCATGGGTGTCACGTGAGGGTGGTCCTGGTGGTCTTGTTCCCAGTTGTATCTATGTGGACACTGCTGTTAGTGATTTTGTCATGATGCTCTAGCAGGAGGGGTTCATTTGCGCTGGAGAGGCTAGCAGGGCTGGGCGCTCAGCCACCTGGGTTCCAGATTCTTGAGTTGGGCTTCTTGTGATTCACCCATCTGACTGGGAACAAAGGGTGGGGGTCATGTGCTAACCTACAGGGTTCATCCTGGCCTGGGGGTGCAAATGAGTCTGGCTCCCTGCAACCCTTACCTGCCTCCACCTTAGCATGGAGCATGGGCTCCTGGCCTCAAAGTTCTGGGCTCCAGACTACCTCATAGGACTCTGAGAAGGAAAAAAACATCCTAGTGGGCAGCCCTATCTAGTCCAGCTGAGAGGTCTGCTCAGGTACAGTGTGTCTCTCCAGTGTTGCTAGGGGTGTCATCACCTAGATGGGCTGTGGCCTGTCTTACACCTCAGCCCCCATGTATAGTCTGGCCATACTATATACTCCCAGGATGTGTGAGGCTCCCAAGAGGTGAGCTGAGCCTACACTGGAGCACAGCCAGTGTTAATGAGCCTGTCCAAGGCTAGCCCAGTTTAGCATCAGTGTAGCTATCTGAATTTGGGTCCCTCAGAATTTACATGTTGGACCTGGTCTTCAGGGGCATGGTATTAAGAGGAAAGGGGTCAAGGACTCTGCTTTGTAAAGGACTTTGTAGGTACAGTGTGAGATAGTGCAGAGGCTAGGTAAGATGATGGTGCACACTTTTAATCCCAGCACTCAGGAGGCAGAGGCAGGCAGATCTTTTTGAGATTGAGGCCAGGCTGATCTACATAGCAATTTCCAGCCCAGCTTGAGCCCCAGGGAGACCTGCTTCAGAAAAAGAGCTGCTGGTACACAGCTGAGCTTACTTACTTCTGGATGTTTGTTAGTTTTCATGCATCATTTAATAGCGCTGGATGGTTTTTACTCATTTAAAAGCATAAAGACCATAGGACAGATGGAGGCTGCAGGCTGTGACCCAGCCTTGTACCCACAACCCTAGTTGACTGGTTGTTCTTCTATGATACGGTTCACACACAGGCATGGCCATGCTTTCTTCCTGTGGGTGGTCAGGAGGGCTTTTTTTTTTTGGTCTTTTTGAGACAGGGTCTCCCTGTAGCCCCAGCTGTCCTGGAACTCACTATGTAGACCAGGCTGGCCTTGAACTCACAGAGATCCGCCTGCCTCTGCCTCCCGAGTGCTGGGATTAAAGGCGTGCCGCCACCACGTCCAATGGCCTCTTTTTTTTTAAATTTTATTTATTATTTTTTTAATTTTATGTGTACGTCTGTATTGCCTGCACGTAGGTAAGTACACCCATGTCATGCATTGCCCTCAGAGGTCAGAAGAGGCTGTCGGATCCCCTGGGCCTGGAGTTACAGACAGTTGTTAGCTGCCATGTGGGTGCTGGGATTTGAACCCGGGTCTTCTGCAAGAACAACCAGTGTTCTTAACTGCTGAGCCATCTCTCCAGCCCCAGGAGGGCCTTTTGGAGGAGGCAACACTTTCAGGCTTTGGGAAGCAACTGCAGTGAGACTGGGTTGCTAAGGATCCAGTACAGACATTCTGCTGGACCTTGCCCAGTCCCCGTCCCCACCTCTACACCAGGCCTTCTACTCAAGGGTTATGGCATACAGAGCAGGTTTGGGGTCTGGTTGCTGGTTTCTGGGCCTGTCCAAGGCATGGGGCTGGAGCATCAGCAGTTTTTCCTGGCTAGGCAACCCATGGCCTAGGTGCATGTCCATCCTCCCTGTCCTTGGGGGATGTGGCTGTGGATGTGGCTGTGTCTTTTTCTTACATAGAGAAACTGAGACTTGGGAAGATTTGTCGGTACAGAGTGAGCGCAGGAAAGCTGGACCCTCCTAGCAGCAGGCCTCACCCCTCCCCTGCCCTACCCGCTGGCCCTTTCTCACTCTCCCTCTCTCTCCTTGGCCTCTGCCCCCCTGCTGGCTTCCTTTGCCCCTCACTTCCTGCGGCACTGCCCCACTAAGAAGTTCTCATCTCCACACTAGCACCTTGCCCTGTATCTCTACCTCCTGGCCTGTGGCCCCACCACTCAGTCCTCCTCATTCCCTCCACTGTGCCCTCCTCAATAGCCATCCTATCTGGGCCTCAGGACTGTGCAGATATGATGTTCCCACTTCCCTGTGGCCTCCTCCTGGCTCCTCCCCCCCCAGATCTCTCTGGCCTCTTGGCTGCTTGGTGGCCAGGGAATTTACATACCATTTGCACCTGCCCTGACCCCAGCTTCTAACCTGCTCTACCCAGCTGCTCTGGGACTTTTCAAGGTAGCCTAAGCTATGTTGCCTATCCACACCTAACCAGCACCACCCTGACATGCTCAGAGCCCCAGCCCCAGCTCTCCAGGATCTGATTCCACATCTACCGATTCCACATCTACCGATTCCACATCTACCTTCCTCTTCCCGCTTGTTTTCCATTTCTCCCTAGTCATCCCCACCCCCAGCCAGCTCCTTCCTGGAGAGTCTCCCTCCCTCTGGGTCCTCCCCTCTGGGGGGCCAATTCTCCAGCTCCTGAACTTTATCAGCGTGCACCAGTCACAGTGAGACATTCTGCTTCACTTCCTGTAGGGAGAAATACCAGAAGATGCTGCTAGTTTGGACTGGGGGACCCAGGGCTAACCAGACAACAGCATGAGTGAGGGGCAGGGTAATGGGGCAGCAGGAGCACAAGGCCAGAGGGAAAGGGCCTCTGTTGTGGTAAGGGTAGGCTATGGGAGGACAAGGGGGCTCCTAGGGGAGTGGAGCAGCCTCAGCAGGGCCATTGCTAGGCAGGAGAGGGCATGGCTTGGACCAAGCCAGGCAGGGCTGGCACAGACCCAGAAAACCCATCAGACATGCCACATGATGCAAATGTGAACATGTGCATACTTACATGTGCATTCATGTGGATGTGTATGCAGGTGCCTGTATAGGTATCCATGAAACACACATCTACAGGTGCATATGTGTATATGTGTGATATACTCATGTACATGCATGTGCTATCAGCTTGTGAAGAGCTGATCTTTACCTCCACCTAGTCTGTTCTTCAGCTCTCCTTACCCATGTGTGACATCCTAACCCAGAAAGCACAGCCCAGAGCCAAACAACCTCTGAGGCTCTGTGCACATGGTGAGTCCAGCCAACTGCTATGGGTGACTATGGCCCTGTTGTGGTTATGCTGGAGATAAGCTGGCTGGAAGGCATGCCCAGAGCCCTGGGTGTGACCACTGCCAGGGTCAGCACAGCCAGGACAGGGCTGTCAGGCACGGACTTTGGAAATGTATCTTTCTGACGTTGTGAGTGAGCACAGGCTGTTGGTCTCTTGGTGTTCTGACAACTTCACATGTCTGTGTTTGCCCACTGTCTGCCTCACAGGGTCCCTTTTCAGTCCCTGGATAGGCCCAGCTCTGAGTGCTGGCCTAGAGCTACCTCTCATAGCTAGGCTATCTTCTGACCCCTGAGCATGTGGGAGTGGCTGGGTGGAGTTTACCTCTGGCCTTGGGAAGGGAGGTTTCTGGCCGGGGGATCTGCTAGATTCCTGGCCCTCCTATAATCTGGGAGGGGCTTGTCGGGAAAGAGAGCCTTGGGAGTTGGTGGGTACTCAGGCCCTGTGTCAAGTCAGAAGAAGACTTAGAAACAGACAGAGTAGTGGTGATGCTGCAGGAAAAGGGAGAGTCCTAGGTGGAGGGCGTCAGGAAGCCAGAGACCCAGGCCAGGTCAGGACATGATATGCCTAGAATGAACATGTCTAGCCAGGAAAGGGATGCCAGGAGAAGCCCCCAGGGCCCTGTGGCTCTAGGTACATAAGGCCAGAGGGAACCCAGGACCCTGGGTCGAACCCTGGGTTCAAGGTTGAATGATGCCAGGGAGGCTAGGTTGGGGAGTGACCATGTTTTGAATACAGACTGGTGAGGCAAAGACCCGTTGGGTGTGACGCTAGGAGTGGCCAGGGGCATGCTGGGTGGACAGTCTTAGAAGGAACCTGGAGGGTAGAGAGAGTTAAAGTGCCTGGAGGAGGTGGTCAGGCACAGGGAGACTGAGGCTGAGACTTGGGGCAGGAAGCTCTCCAGCCTGGAAGGGTTACTCTAAAGCTCTTCAGGAGTCAGTCTAAACTGGTGTCCCATCCACATCAGGGCACCAGAGCCTAAAGATGTCCTGGGCCATACCCCATAACCTTCTGGACCTTGGCCTCCAGTGAGGTTTTTGTGTGTTTCTATGGGACTGTGCTGGGCTGCGGCCCACTTGTGCCCTTTTCCCTCTGGCTCTAGTGGAGCTGTGCTAGCTCCCCTACCTGCCCTTGGTAGGGATCACACTGACCCAGAGGCCAGTGCCCAGGACTAGGAACAGGGTGCTAGGGAAAGTGTATGTAGAGGGAGGGATCAGGGTAGCAGCACAGAGGTGAGTGACCCTGGTCTTGCAGTCCTTGTGGCCTGTTCTAGCAGCTAGATGGCTTTGATAGATGTACACTGTTGGGACTCAGGTGCTTTCAAAGGTGGATGTTGGTATTATGATGGGTGTGGGAAGCATGGGGAACCCCACAGATGGGGCATCTGAAGGCCGTGTGTCTGTCCCTTCAGTCTCGCAGTGTGGACAAGCAGCATGCAGTCATCAACTATGACCAGGACCGTGATGAGCACTGGGTGAAGGACCTGGGCAGTCTTAATGGGGTGAGTGTGCTGGGTTCTGCCCTGACCCTACCCCATTCCTGACTACTACCCCTAGCTCCACCCACTCTGGCCCTGTCCAGCCCCCCCCCCCCCCCCAGTGCTGACTGAAGATGAAGCCTTCCTCAGCTATAGAGGCTAGAGCTCTGGGGGACTAGGGAGGCACTGAGCCAGGAAATGAGCCCCCCAAGAAACAGGGAGCTGTGCTGGGTCCTATCTGGGCAGGGGATGTGTGTCCTCTTGTGATTTGAGAGTAACTGGCAGGAGGGAGGCCCTGACTGCAGAAGTAAGGGGAGTTGAGCGAGAGGAGCTGGGTGTGGGGTAGAAGGAGAGGGAGTGACCTCCCTGGGCTTTGCCTGTCTGTCTGTCCTGTTAGACATTTTTCTTTTTACATGGTGGATATGGACCATCCCAGGACACTGTTTCACTAAGAAAGCTAGCTTCAGACTCTCTTGTTCCTGCTTGTGTAGTCCTGAATAGGGGTCCCAGGGGCCCTTCCTACACAGTGTGAGCCTGGAGCCAAGCCCTGGCACCACCCTCAGCTCTTCTCCCCAGGCTACCCTTCAAAGGATGCAACCCTCCCTACAAGGGCCATATGACCTACAGGCTTTTGCTACCCATTGAGCTTGAGAGGGTCTCTGGGGCAACTGGCCCCGTACCAGCCTGCAAGATCTGCTGCTTGAGAGATCTGCTCACTCGCTCCTGGGGTGCTGAGCCAGGGGTTCAGGAAGGCAAGGAGGGTCTGCTCAGCCCCCGTTCCCCTTTCTTTCTTAGACGTTTGTGAATGACATACGCATCCCGGACCAGAAGTATATCACACTGAAACTCAATGATGTCATCCGCTTTGGCTATGATATCCTTCCCTGAGCGATTCCTAGGGCCATAGCCCCTCTGCTGTCCCAAAGCAGGGTAGGGGCCTTCTGAATCACAGGTGGGGCTCGGGGGGTTACAGGACATAGAGGATGAGGTTGGACTCCCCCTGCTAGTGGGGCCCTCCATGGGACTCTACCCCTGCTGTCCTCCCCTTGGCTTCTGCCTACCTGTCTACATGCTCAGCCCAAAGTCACCCAAGGGCTAAGGAGTGAAGCCATCACTCTTTGGGACCCAGAGTCCTGGCTTGACCTTGAGGTCCTGGCAGCCTGGACATTCTGTCCTCCACGCCTGGTGGGAGTACGGTGGGACGTGGCTGGGCCTCTCAGGAAGGGGCCCTCTTCCTACCTCCCGGAGCTTTTGAGTCTGCCTCCTCACTGCTGGGGACTCCAGTGCTGGCTCCGTGCTCCAGCTACAGGTCTTCCCAGCTCTTCCTGTTCTGTGTTCTCCTTAATGCACAGTCACATTCCAACATGTATGTGCTGGAGCGTGTGCAGCACCGCGTTCCTGAGGAGGCGCTCAAGGTTAGTGCCAAGCAGCCCAGGGGTTAGGCGAGCCCTGCCTTGGGACCCCGACTTCGAGGTCTCAGCTCATAGCTGGAGAGTTGTGCTTCTGCCACTGAAGGATTTGCCAGGCCCCTGGGGTGCCCTGTGCTGGCTGTGGGTGCCATGAATCAGGCCTGTTTGGCTTGTCCTGCTGGATGGCCCAGTCCAGCAAGTAGGAAAGTGGTTATTACCCCCAGGCTTATACAGCAACACATGATGGGGGCAGCTGGGGAAGGGATGGTAAGGTTAGGGTGAGGGCAGAGTGGTTGGCCTGCTGGAGGTATCCTGGCCTTTTGTGCTGTGCAAAATCTGTCCTTGAGCTGGAGTGGTGGGGCTGCGGGGAAGGGTCTGTGGCTCAGAGAGTAGCCCATCATGTGAGCTAGAAGACAGAGAGGACAGGTAGGACACTGGGATCACTTGGCAGGAGGCCCACTGGGGGCAGAGTGCACTACAGGTAGGTCAAGCAGGGTGGAGAACCAGGCCACATTCTTCTCATGGGTCCTGGATCCACCCAGGAGAAGGAACAGGAAGGGTCCCGATGAAGCCACCAAGGGGCCGGGGGACCATCACTGTGTCTTCTGAGATGGTGCCTTTCAGTGTACTGGGGTCACATTGACCAGAGCCCCAATTAGGGCATGAGGGTCCTGGGGGCTGTGACAGAACAGTGTTTCCTTTCCCTTGTTTGTGTGGGTGGGTTTTGGAGCTTTGAGCTCTCTTTTGAGCCCTGTGCGGGTGGTCTGTCCTTAGCCAATTTTCCAATTGAATTTGTACAGTAAGGGGTCACATAGCTAGGCCTCTGAGCTGCTTATCCAGGGCCTATTTTAGGTGGGGCCAGGAGAATGGCAGTCTCTAAGGCTGTGCTCTTTTTAGCCTTACCTGTCGCCTCTCCAGAGGGAAGTAAATACAGCTGTCTCCCAAGCTCTGTGGCCTCAGAACACCCCACAGGGCCTGGACCATGAGCTGCCCACCAGGGGGAGTTCTGTTCATTGTGGAAAAAAGGCTGTCTGGTGGGTTTCCCGAGGCTGATACCCTATCCCCCACCTTCTGTGCCCGCTCACAGCATGAAAAGTATACCAGCCAGCTGCAGGTGAGCGTCAAGGGCTCTGCACCCAAGAGAGGTGAGGTGCTACCTGAGCACACACCCTACTGCGAATCCTCACAGCCCAGGCCAGAGAAGGGAGACCGAAGACCTGGAGCAGGTAGGGGAGGCTGTGGGGTGGTGGCCAGGTGGACGGGGGAGGCTGTGGGGTGGTGGCCGGGTGGACGGGGGAGGCTGTGGGGTGGTGGCCAGGGTGGACAGGGGAGGGGGAGCATACAGAGGTGCCTCAGGTCCTGTCCATCTCCATTTCCGCTTCCCCCCAGTCTACCCTCTCTGGCACTGTTTTTCCCTACTCCACCCCATTCCCCAGAAATGAATGCTCCCTCCTCCCACGTGAGCCCTCATCCCAGCTTGCACTAGCAGTTCATAGCATAGCTCAACCGCCGGGGCCCAGGCCTGTTCAACTGTGGGCTTGTCCTGTACATCTGTACATACTTGCCCAGGCACACCCACTTTTCTCGGGCCCAGGGGCCTCCTGCAGTTAGTGGGACACCAGATGGTCACCTTGTGGTCTGCAACAGGTCAGGGGCAGGCAGGGAAAGGTGACAGGTTTAAGCTGCTTGAAGTCAGGTGTCTGAGCCCGCTTCTGCAGATGATGTGACCACTGGGGCTGAAGTGAGCAGGTTGTTGCAAGAGGGTGGACAGGGGAGGGTGAGCATACAGAGGTGCCTCAGGTCCTGTCCATCTCCATTTCCGCTTCCCCCCAGTCTACCCTCTCTGGCACTGTTTTTCCCTACTCCACCCCATTCCCCAGAAACGAATGCTCCCTCCTCCCACGTGAGCCCTCATCCCAGCTTGCACTAGCAGTTCATAGCATAGCTCAACCGCCGGGGCCCAGGCCTGTTCAACTGTGGGCTTGTCCTGTACATCTGTACATACTTGCCCAGGCACACCCACTTTTCTCGGGCCCAGGGGCCTCCTGCAGTTAGTGGGACACCAGATGGTCACCTTGTGGTCTGCAACAGGTCAGGGGCAGGCAGGGAAAGGTGACAGGTTTAAGCTGCTTGAAGTCAGGTGTCTGAGCCCGCTTCTGCAGATGATGTGACCACTGGGGCTGAAGTGAGCAGGTTGTTGCAAGGTGAGGTCTGTTATGCTGAAGTTCGGGTAGCCATTGCAGATGGACACTGACTTCCAGGTCTGAGTGGGAAAAGGGGGCTGTACAGCATAGTGACTGGAGGTATAAGTGAGTCCTGGCTAGATGCGCAGCAGGTGGCTTGGGCCAGTTCTGGAATGAAAGGGAGCATGTCTAGGAAATTGAGGTTCATGTTCCACCTGTATTAGGAAAGTCACCTTGCTGCCCAGTCTTGGCCCACATCTGCTGTGCTCTTAGAGTCAGCCCATGCACCCACATGTGGTACCTTAAACTGCCAGCATCTGGCTGGGATGCAGGTGTGCTCTAAACAGCAAGCCTTCTGCCTCAGGGAGCCTGACCCATGCTGCTCTTTGGGAAGACTGCTGGGAACTGGGAGGTTTCCAGAAAGTCATCCGAGCTGCTCAGAGTAAGTGTCAGTGTCCAGGCTGTGAGTACACACAGCTGGTGATGCTGTCCCCGAGGTCATGGCATGTGCAGCCAGCTGGGCAAGCAGCTTCCTTGGCCCTCAGGAGCAGACACAGCACATTAGGGGACCCTAGATAGGCTTGGGGCCAACAGATGGAAGAGTACTGCCTAGTGACAGAAACCCGCTGCTTCAGGGGACCCTGGGTACAGCACCAGGCTCAGAATAAGGTCCTCAGACCAGTGGCAGAGAGATAGAGACAGGAGAGGGGACAGATGATAGAATAAGATCGAAGTATGTGGCATACTGCACAAAAATGACACCGAAACCCATCATTTTGTTCAAGGAATATATGGTAATTTTAAAGCATGGGGTTTCTGGGGAAGAAGGAAGCATACATGACATATGTAGGGAGGTCCTCCTTTCTACGGGGACAGTTGTCTGGCCTCTGAACCCTCTTGTTGTCTGCTGGGCCATTGTGAACCGCAGGGCCAGTAACCAAAATTCTGATGGCTGCAGTGCTCAGCAGGAATGGAAAGGACTTACGGGGGATGGGACTGTGCTTGTGCATCAGAGCTGGCACCTTGCCCTGGGCTCCTGGACTCTGCTGCTGCCCACGTAGGAGCTAAATGTCTAGATTCATGTGCGATGTGTTAACTTCTAGCCAGAGATCCAAACATTCAGACAAACTCACCAAGCCTGTGGTTGCCCAGGGCTGCCCATTTGTGGCAGAGCCGTTTATAGAGCCTTAGAAAGAGGCTGAACCTGGTTACGGACTCTTGTTGCTTGGTCCTAGTACTAATGGGGCAAAAGACTAAGCCTGCCCACCTCAGGGCGGGTTGCCCAGAACTGTGTCTCCAGGGACGAGCCTTCCTGCATAACCATATGAGGGAGGCCTGCACAGAGCTGTGGTGGTTTACTTTGCCCACAGACATGGAAACAGGCTCTGAATGAATGGTCAGCAGCTGGCCAGGGCCTTGGGCAGCTACAGGTACCAATTGTGAGGTAACATCAGAACGGGCTCCACAGACTGTCCCTGATTCATATCTTCATGTTGGGGGATCATAGAGCCCCAGGGTCTGAACTCTCCCTCTCCCACAGAAACGGTGCCTTACCGCACACCCCTGTATGGGCAACCCTCCTGGTGGGGGGAGGAAGAGAGTGCCACACCACCTGAAGACCAGCGCCAGGAGGAGCCCTATCCAGGTGAATTGAGTGCCCAAGCAGTGACTGGGCTTTTGGGTGCCTACACAGGGGGCCAGAGGGTGGCATGGTGGCTATCTAAGGGCCAGGCCTGAGGACCCCTCCCCACAGAGCGTCCCAAGGACCTGGTACGGCAGGATGGTGAGCTAGACAGCTGCCGTGCCCCCGTTGAGCCACCAGCCTACTTGTTCCGCCGTGAGCCCAGTTACTTTGAGATCCCTACGAAGGAACCTCCACAGCCACCACGGCTCCCTGAGGTGCCACAGGAAGTGCCCACAAAAGATCAGGAGGCAGGTGGTGGTGGCACGGCCCCTGTGGTACAGAGCCATGCCTCCTTCACCATTGAGTTTGACGACTGCAGCCCCGGCAAGGTGAAGATCAAGGACCACATCACTAAGTTCTCCATGCGCCAGCGGCGGCCTGCAGGCAAGGAGGCCACACCCGTGGAGATGGTCTCTGCCGAGACCAAGGTGGCCGATTGGCTCGTGCAGAATGACCCAAGCCTGCTGCACCGGGCTGGCCCGGGAGATGACCGTCACAGCACTAAAAGTGACCTTCCAGTCCACACCCGCACTTTGAAGGGTGAGTGTCCACTGGCACTGGGCCAGTCCTCGGTGATCCATGTCTACCTGTCCCCACATACTCATCACGTCAGTGAGGGCCCAGGTGGTTTGGCAGATTTCCATTTTCCAGTGAATTGGCCAAGAGCCACCTGCCTGATCTGGAGGTGTCAGGAGTCTGCCGCACCACTGAGCTACATGTGCTGGGCTCCCAGTGGTTCAAGTCACCACACGTGAGCCAGTGTGGACCCATTCCTCCCATGCATGGGGTGGTAAGGTTCCCCAGGACTAGTCACTGTTGACTGATGAGTCTGGATTCCCCCAGGCCACAAGCATGAGGATGGCACACAGAGCGACTCAGAGGACCCCCTGGCCAAGACTGCCTCAGTGACTGGGGCCCCCACAGAGACCAGTGGGGAGCAGGTGCGGCTGCAGAGGCAGATCAAACGGGACCCCCAGGAGTTGCTGCACAACCAGCAGGCCTTTGTCATCGAGTTCTTCGATGAGGACACGCCCCGAAAGAAACGCTCACAGTCCTTTACTCACACCCCACCTGGAGACCTCAAGGCTGATAAACGCCGGGGCCCTGGGACTGCAGATAGGGAACGTTCTGGTGCCCCAGTTCGTGCAGCAGGTAGCAGCTCAGGGCCACAGAGGGCCAGCTCACTCAAGCGGGAAAAGACTGAAGAGCGGCTGGGCAGCACCTCTCCAGTTCCCCGTACCCCTGCCCGTCCATTTGGTAGTGTGGGGCGCCGCTCACGCCTGGCCCAGGACTTCATGGCCCAGTGTCTGCGGGACAGCTCCCCAGCCCCCCGGCCTGGCCCAGAAAAGGCACCTCCGGTACTGCCTGCCCCTTTGACACCCCGGGGGGCCAGCCCTGTGACCCCCTCAACCACTCCGCCACCTCTCGCTGACCCCCAGCTGACCAAGGCACGTAGACAGGAAGAAGATGACAGCCTCAGTGATGCAGGCACCTACACTATTGAGACGGAGGCACAGGACAGAGAGGTCGAGGAGGCCCGGAAGATGATTGACCAGGTGTGGTGTGTGGCCAGGATAATGCCTTCTTGGGAAATCATGGGACAGGAAGGGACGCCAGGGCTGATGGTCATGTTGGGGAACTAGATGTTGACCTGCTGTAGTCCAGCTTTGACTCATGTTTATGGTCCAGCTGGGAAGGAGGACCTGGAAGAGGGAAGTCCCCTGGATAGGCCTCTTACCTTGCCAAAACAGGGCTTGCTTTCCACCCAGCGTGCCCAGCTGGAGCCATATCTATGTGGGCATGGAGCTCTAGACACCTCTGACCATTGGTGCTGTCTCCTCCTGGCAGGTTTTTGGGGTTTTCGAGTCCCCTGAACTCTCTAGGGTGTCCTCAGCCACCTTCCGTCCAGTCATCAGAGGGGACAAAGATGAGTCCAGTGATGGGGGTATGGCCCAGCGGATGGCCTTGCTGCAAGAGTTTGCTTCCCGACCACCAGGTGTGGCCCCCCAGATGGAGCAGCAGGTATGAAGCTGGACCACCACCCCAGGAAGGGCCAGGGCAGCAGGAGTCACAGCTGTTCACCTGGGGCTGAACCTGAGACACTAATGGAGTTGAGCAGTTGCTGGTTACGTTGAGATCGCAGAGGCCCAGGAGAGGCCACAGGGCCCTCCTTGCTGCTTTGGCAGAGGGCTTTGCTGTGGCAGGTGTAGGAAGCATGAGTGAGGCTCTGCTGGGTCCCTGGCCACTGCTCTGGTCTTGTGCCTCCCAAGCTGTGGACATGTTTTTTGTGCTTCTCTCTGTCTGCAGGGCCTCTTGGTTCCAGGCTCCCCTGGGGGTCAGAAGTGGGTATCCCGCTGGGCCAGCCTGGCTGACAGCTACTCAGACCCTGGCTTGGCAGGTATGTGAGCCCAGGGATGCTGTGAGGATGGGGACCATGCCATGATGGCCCAGGTGCCACCACAAACATAGCTTTCTTCAGCTTGTGCCTGGGAGAGGGTTGGGGCTCTGAGTGCATGTAGGGCCTGCAGGTCTGTGGCCATTCTAACTGCAGTGGCCTTGTTCTTTGCAGAGGAAGGTCCTGGGCACAGAAGCAGAGAGCCTGAGGGGGTCCTGCCTGTGCGCACACGGAGACTGCTCCCTCAGCTGCCCAGTGACAGGGCTGACAGCCCTGCAGGCCCTGAAGCTGCCAGGCGGAGCGGCCCAGGGCCACCAGAGCTGGGCAGTGAGCAGGCCAGCCGCCTCATAGGCCAAGAGGACCTGGACCCTGACAGCCTTAGTGATGCCAGTGGGTCAGATGGGGGCCGGGGCCCCGAGCCAAGCACTGAGCGGCAGGAGGAGCTAGCATGGGTCAGGGGTCGACACTCACCAAGGGCTCCCGGGGAGCCAGCCCCCACCTCTTTCTTCATCGGTGACCAGAATGGGGAGGCTGCCTTCCCCAGGAAGCCTTTTGTGGATCCTGGGGAGGTGGATAGTCCAAGTCGGGTAGGCCAGACCAGCCCCCCAGCAAGAGATGGCCTCTACGTCAGTACCAGTGGAAGGATGGTGATCCAGCTGCGCAGCGAGCGGTCCCCAGAGCCTGACCCGGCCCCGTCCAAGGAGGCCTTGGCCTTTGCCCGGCAAGAAAGCTTCACTAAGGAGCCGACTAGTGGCCCCCCAGCACCTGGCAAGCTCCCCCATATCTCTAGTCACCCACTCCTGCAGGACCTGGCTGCAGTCCGGGCCTCACGAATGGACTTCCACACACAGGACACTCAGCTGATCTTGAAGGAGACAGAGACAGCCCTGGCAGCCCTGGAGGCCCGACTGCGCTCCAAGTCTGCAGACGAGTGCGAGGCGGGCAACACCCCTAGGCCTCCAGAGGACTCTCTGTCCGGGGATTCAGATGTGGACACAGCCAGCACCATTAGCCTGCTCAGTGGCAAGAATGGACCCAGCCCAACAACCCCCCAGGCTCCAGGGCCACAGAAGGAAAGCCTACTGTCTCCACCAGCAGCACTGGATACAGGGGGTGCTACCCTGGGCGGTGCCAGGGAGAGGCTGTCAGAGAAACAGCATCATCCGCCGGGCCCTACAGACTTGGGCCATAGAGAGCCCACAAGGCGCCTGGCTGTGAGGCGTGGCCACGGGACTCGAGGGTCCCTGGACTGGCCTGAAGAGGAACGAGGCTCTGGCACTGCTCACCTGCCCAACTCCAACCATGAAACCCCTGAGGCCACTGGGGCAGGTCGGCAAGGGCCTCGCCGGAAACCAGTGGCTCCCCCGCCATCCCCAGCTGCCCGTGAGGAGCAAAGCCGAGGCTCCACCACTGCCCAGAAGGTGCAGCAGGCGCTGACCCGCTCCAACAGCCTGTCCACCCCAAGGCCCACTCGGGCCTCCCGACTTAGGCGAGCCCGACTGGGGGATGCCTCGGACACCGAGGCTATGGATGGTGAACGAGGGACTCCAGCTAACCCTGAGCCAGGGAGCCGACCAGCCCCTGAGCAGGCCAAGAAGTTGACGCGCTTGGACATCCTAGCTATGCCTCGAAAGCGGGCAGGCTCCTTCACAGGGCCCAGCGACTCTGAGGCAGCCCCTGCCCGCACTGGCTTCTCTGGCCGCAGTGCTGAGCTGTACAGCTCCAGCCGTAAGCCCACCGTAGCCGAGGCCCGTGCTGCTGCCAGGAAGGCTGCTGCCACTGCTGCCACCACGGTCTCCCGCCAGCCCTTCAGTAGGACCCGCCCCGGGAGTGCCAGATACTCCAGTGAGTGTGGGGTGGTGGGAAGAGGCTGGTGGGTGGGCAGGATGGCACTAGTAGCCGAACCCCTGGGTGGATGTGTTGTAGGCCCGCACATGCGTGTTCACTGGCAAAGTGTGCCCGTAGCCCCTATGTGGGCAGAAGACACGCCCCAGAGTGTGTCCTATCCCCCCCAGCGGCATCAGTGACTGGGCCTTGGGGTTGACACCACCACTCTCGGTGTACCCAGGCAGGGCAGGCGCATACAGTGACTTGTTCAGCGGACTCTCCTGCCCCTCCCATGCTGCTGTAGCTGCGACTCCCAATGTCTAGTGGGAACATTTCTGACACCCTTGCGAGACCACAGAGTCCCTGGCCCAAGTATGCTGTGTTAGTCCCTGGGAACATCATCTCTGCCCCACCCCCTGAGTTCTGTGCGTACAGTGAGGGACAGACTACTGCAGCTGCTGGAGCTGGCTCCCTACCTGGAGTGGCTAGTGTCCTGTCCCATCGAGGGAGCTGTGCTGTGCCCCAGTGGACTGAATGGATTGGTTTGAGCTGAGGTGCCACAGCCCCACTCCTTGGCCTTGCTGTTCCTGGCTGACTCCACTTACCTACTCTGCCTCCCAGCATCCTCCCATGGATCCTCTGCCTGCTGGATCCACTGGGCAGGATGGGGTGGGATTGGGGACATTGTGGCTGTCTGGACTGAGGACCTCTGCTTAGCAGAACCTGCTGTCCATAACCTGCTGGCCTTGCTCAGCATGTAGGCCCCACCTACCCTTCGTCCACAGTGTGTTTGCATCAAAGCTTTTTGGAGCTCCAAGCAGGACAGTGCAAGGATCTAAGATCTTACTCAGGCAGCCACACCTGAGGATGTGGGTCTGATGAAGGTTGTTGGAACCTGGCATGGGCTGACTATGGACTGACCTCACCTACCTGTGTGGTCCAGCCATGGCATGGCATGGCTGGACCTTGTGTGTGGCTTACCTCATTTTCTGCCCTTCCCTGGTACCCAAGGGGTGGCTCCCATCTCATCGAGCACAAACCCTTATGGCCCCCCATGTTGTGTAGGCCCCCAGGGGTGCCAGGGCCTTGGCCCTGCATGTCCGCCTGGCCTTTCCGTCCCTTGGTCCCTGGAGCACGGCAGCTGCTGATGCTTCTGCTGGGGGTTTTCTGGGTGCAGTGGTGCCAGCTGTGATATGGCCTGTCCTGCAGCACAGGGCCCTCACCTCGAGGGACCCTGGGGCCGCCAAGGCACTGAATGCTCTCTGTTCTGTTCTTGCTTCTAAAACCAATCCACTCACCTAAGACACACGTCGCCGGCAGCAGGGCTCGGATTACACGTCCACCTCTGAGGAGGAGTATGGGTCCCACCACGGCTCCCCTAAACACACACGCTCCCATGCCTCAACAGCCACACAGACCCCTCGGGCCAGCAACTCTGCCCGGGCTCGTTCCCAGGCTTCCGGCCCCCGGGACACAGATGATGACGAGGAAGAATCTGACCCATATGGCTTCATTGTGCAGACAGCAGAAATCGCAGAGATTGCTAGGTGAGTGAATGAGCCTTCAGGGCCAGCCCACAGATGCCTCCGTTGACGGAGAGCAGCCCCAGGGCAGGGATGAGGCAGCACCCTGCTCTTGACCCTGAGTAGGCTTGGAGGATGCTTGGCGGGTATTGGATAGATGAGTGGCTAGATGGATGGATGGAGGTTGGTGATGAATGAGTTGATGAAAACGGATGGATGGGTGGGTGGGTGGGTAGGTAAATGAATGGGTTAAACAGCGGGTAAGTGAGTCAATGCCAGAACTTTTTCCTGTTGACCACAGGCTGAGCCAGACACTGGTGAAGGATGTGGCCATCCTGGCTAGGGAGATTCATGATGTGGCTGGGGATGGTGACTCACTGGGCTCACCAGGGCCCACTCGCAGCCCATCTCTTGGGAATGTGCCCAGCACCCCTGCCTCAACCATCTCGGCTCGAGAAGAGGTGAGTCCCAGGCTTCCTAGATACAGCTGCTGGGGGGATGGATGCCTGTCTTCCAGAGGAAAGGGCCCACTTTGTACTTCCCGATCTTGGGGCTACAGTAAGGCCCTCTGAACTGGCTCCCTACAAAGCCCTTGAGAATGTGTGGTCTGGGAACTTGAACAACACATCTATGTATTTGTTCCCAAGCTCAGCTGCCTCCTTCTGAGGGAGCGGTGTTGGGAGGGGCCCTGAGCAGATGGGGCCTGGGGCTGGTTCTGTCACTTGTATGACTGGAGCAGTGGAAGGGCTCTCTCCACCCCCTGGTGGTTGCCCTCTACCAGGTGAGCCAATGGTGCCCTGCCTCATCCTCTGCAGCTGGTGCAGCGCATCCCAGAGGCTAGCCTCAACTTCCAGAAGGTACCGCCTGGCTCCATGAACTCTCATGACTTGGATCAGAACATGAACGACAGCCGTGAGGATGCTCTAGCCAATAAGACGAGGCCTCGGAACCGTGAGGAGGCACGGTGCCCCTCTCAGTGTGCAGCTGTCGGGGGGGGGGGGGGGGGGCGTGTCTTGGACAATTTCTGGGGTGGGAGGTGGGAGCCAGCTACTTGGGGTCGGGGGACGCTGTGGCTATCCTGATACCATGGTCTTTCTAGGTCATCTTTGATAACCTGATGCTGAACCCCGTCTCCCAGCTGTCACATGCTATCCGGGAAAACACAGAGCATCTTGCTGAAAAGATGAAGTGAGTAGGCAGTCCCAGGGCACAATGCAGATTGGGATTCGTGGTCAGGGTGGTGGTGGGTCTGGTGTCAGTGTCAGGGCATGCAGCCTGATAAGTCACATGTGCATCTATGTACAGCCGAGTCCTGCATGTGTACGTCTACACTGCTCCCACAAGCAGACCCTGAGCTTAGGGACCCCTTGCCCCCTTTCCTGTCCTCATCACCAGCCAGGCTGCCCCCACCCCAGTTGTTCCTACCCTGGTCATTAGTGTCGGCGAGTCACGTTCTTGCCCTGAGCTTCAGTTCCTTCTGAGTCCAGAGGAGGGTGGCGTCAGCTCTGTGGTGACAAGAGAAGGGTGCCATGCCTCTGTCCTCCATCTTTATCCTTGCTTCCCCTCCCCAGGATCCTCTTCCAGAATACAGGCCGGGCCTGGGAGGACCTGGAAGCCAGGATCAACGCCGAGAACGAGGTACCCATCCTGAAGACATCCAACAAGGTGAGGTCAAAGAACCCCATCGTTGAACCTGCCCCTCAGCCAGTGGACCTTGTCCAGCTGGTCAAGCCAGGACCCCACTCTTGCCTCCAGTCCATCGGGAACGGATGGGCCCCTGGGTATTCTTGGTCTAGCCTCCCTGCTTTCTGTCCTCCCCAGGAAATCAGCTCCATCCTAAAGGAACTTCGACGCGTCCAGAAGCAGCTGGAAGGTGGGTGAGGCCTAGACCTGGGGGTGGCGAGGGCAGCCTCAGGTTTCTAGCCAGACTCTGCACTGGCCTGACCCTCCCTGCCCTCTTCCCCTAGTCATCAATGCCATCGTGGATCCCAGCATGAACCTGGATCTGCTCATGGGAAACAGGGCTCCTACAGGGTCCATTCAGCCGGGGCTTGGGAAGGGCCGGCCAGCAGCTCAGAGCCCAACCTCGCCTGCCTCGGGGGACACCTTGTTACCAGCCCTCAGGAGCTTCCCACAACGGGTGAACTGCAGGCCCCCCAGCCTCCCGGAGCCTGCCTTCCTCCCCGATGCCGAAAGGTTCCTGATCTAAGCTGTGGGGCGGGCAAGGCCAGTCTTCCTGTGCGCGTGCCGTGCGTCCTGTGCCTGCCAGTGTATCTATCCCGTGGCCCACCTGCCTGGCTGCAGGCAGTTCTCTGTGAAAACCCTGTATGTGCCATAAACTCCATTGGTGGGTGTCTCCCATGCCCAGGCCCCCTCCTAGGTCCCAGCCAGCACCCCAGCCACCTCATCTAGCCCCATGGGTATCCTTACTCCTACAGGCCTCCTGGCCCAGCTCCTGGGGTGGCCGCTGCCAAGGGCCAGCCTTGAGGCTACGTTCTCTGCTCACCATCACTGTTATTTTTGTCATTAGCTTTAAAAGAAAGAGTAGTTTGTGCCACGGCAGCACCTCACCAGGCCTGACCCACATGTAGCTCCAGCCTGAGAGGCCCTGTTTTGACGTGCCCTATCCCTGTGTGCTGGCCCTAGGCCAGGCAGAGAAAGGGGCTGGATCCTAGGGTCAGTCAGTGCCAAAAAACGTGGAATTGGGCGGGCTTGGCATGTCCCTAAACTGTCCGGGTAGGAGGCCACTTGCTCTGTGGCTCCCACCAACATACAGGGCAGAGGCTGCTCCAGAGTCCAGCATCCTGGGCAGACGAGTGGTCCAAGGAGGTATTTGGGGCAGGAACCCTGTGGCTCTAAGCCTCTGGTGCCAACACAACTGCCAAACCCACTGAGTTTGGTACTATCCCAGCAAGCCCTCAGTAGACTCATCCCATCCACAGACCCTGGGCTTCCTTACAGTGAGCCTGGGTGGCTTAGCAGCCCCTGTGGTGGGGGTGGAGTGCTATGTCAGAGTGACAGGAAAAGAGGATTTGGAAGCTCCTGGCTTGGTGTTCTAAACCCTGTACCCGCCCTCCCAGAAGCTATGGGCACTAAGCAGTATCTGCAACAGGCTCCCGTGGCCTGATCCCTGGTGGGGGCCTGGCAGGGACAGGCCCAGCACTGGTTATGCTTTCTCAGGATTCATTTGACTGGGACCTGCTGGGTGAACAGCATGTGGCCCCTCTGCTGCTGCCTCCCCTTGTGGGGCAGCCAGTGTTTTTGGAGGCGCTAAGCCAAAGAGCCTGTTGACTGGGGTGGGGTGTAGGGGAATCCCACTCCGATCAGGTTGGCATGGTGTGCTTGAGTCCAGCCCAGTGTTTGTGCGGGTGTTGCCCCTGAGTAGGACCCATCTGCTGGGGGAGAGGTCACTGTGGTGGGGGGCCCAGAGCCCACAGGGGTAGCATGGGTCTCCCTGTTTACACTTAGCTGTTACGGAGTCATGCACGGAGTCATGCACGGGTCCTGTGTGCCTCTGCCCAGCCCACCTGATGTTTACGTATGCGTGTAGAGCCTGCTATGTCTGGAGGAGGTGCCAGCCCAGCCTATTGGCTGCTGCTCCCCGCATGTCCCACACACCGCCCACAGCCTGTCCCCCAGAAATGAGCAGTGGCTGTCCACCTTTGTTCAAGAGCCCTTCTGGTCCGTACCTCCCACCCCTGGTCACCACCGTACAATTTTTTCTTAATGCACAAATTGGTGTTCCTCCCCACACTGAGTTCCTTTGTCCCTCCAGCCTTCGACTGGCATTGGCACCTTGCCTGGCTCCTTGAAGGCATTGACGTGTACATTGTTCTCAGGTGGTCTTGTGGATGTCTTTCAGAAAATGATTATTTTATATGATTTGTCATGGAATTTGTTCTAATAAATCATTCTTTCACGTGGCAGCACACCAGCGTCTGTCACCTTAGTCTGCTTCTCCCGGAATGGTGTTGGGAATGGGTTGCCTGGGGCATGAGTGTCAAGACACAGAAGGCTGTTGCTGCAATTCAGATGTCACCACCAGGTGGCGCTTATGTGAGGAAGCAAAGCTTTAGTTATTTTAAGCCAGGCATGGAGGTGTGTGCCAGTAATCCCAGCACTGGGAGGAAGGCAAGAAGATCACACATTTGAAGCTAGCCTGCTCTACCTAGCTAGTACTAGGCCAGCCGGGGCCACAAAATAAGATGATCTTTTAAAAGCAAAAGAATTGTTATAATCATTTGGTAGGACACACAACAGCACTCTTTAACAGTGTGCCTAATGGGACTGGAGAGATGGCTCAGTGGTTGAGAGCAGTAGCTACTCTTAAAGAGAACCCAGGTTCAATTCCCAGCACCCACGTGGTGACTAACAGCCATCTGTAACTCCAGTTCCAGGGGATCGATGCCCTCTTCTGACCTCGGCAGGCATTGCATGATACAGGTGCACCTACATGCAGGCAATACACTCATACACATAAAAATAAATTTTAAAATGTGCCTAAACTGTGTACACACAGGCAGCAAGAGAGGGGCATGGGTACTGGGTTGGAAGCTCCATGCTACCCCAGTTCTCTCTCCCTCTGTCTTTGGAAAAGACCCCTAACATCACATTGAGATTCTACATCTTTGGGCCTTCATGCACAAAGACAGCCACCTTCCCCACCATGACTGGCCAGCTCAGGAGCCTGTACTTAGCCACTTGGCCTGCTCCTGAGGGGCTGGCAAGCCACTGGAGACCTTCAGGGACCAGAGCCCTTGGCAGCCCTGCTCACACTGTGGAAGAGGCAGCTGGTGAGTGTCAGCACATTGGACTGGCTTGCCATCTGTAGAGCCTGGAGTCTTACATCATGGGTCTCCAGACCAGAGTCCTTGTCTGCAGCCTGACTACAGCTTCTGGCAGGAGAAACAGGGCATGTGTTTATCTTATCCTGCCCAGTACCCCTCAAGGTCTGGGTCCAGACAGGGCGTGCATACTCCCACACATAAGTGGATAGGTGTGCCAACAGACAGTCTGGGTACATCAAGTCCTTTGTCCTCTCATTCCCGTTACAGAAGATATCACCCAGTGTTCCCTCTTGGAGGTACGTATGTTCCCCTGCTTCTCCCCGCCTTGGGGACATGTCTGAGGTAAAACCATAGAAGTGGAGGGGGCAGCTGAGCTGGATTACTCACCTTGAACATGGACCAAATTGAGCCACTGTAGGCTTTCTTGCCTGAGCCCTTCTCCAGGAGTGACCTTGCCAACCAGTTAGTGCATCCTCCCTACGGCCGGCTGTGGGCCGAACACTGAACCCCAGAAGGGAACTCTAAGCAGAGAAGCGCAGTGGCTGGGGAAGGTGAGGCAGGTGAAGGGGCAGGCCTGGGGCTGGGCACCTATGACTTGGATGGGAGCGTGACACTCAAGGCCTCTGGAAGGACTTGGACCTTTTTTTTTTTTTTTTTTTTTTTTTTTTACATGTATTTATATATTCAGAGAGAGAGAGAGTGTGTGTGTGTGTGCACGTGCATATGTATGGGCGTGCATATACCACAGCTTGTGTGAAGATCAGAGGATAACTTTGGGAAGTCTTTCTCTCCTTCCATCATTTCGGTTCTGGGAGTTGAACTTGTATATTCAGGCTTGGTGTGCGCAAGTGCCTTTACTCACTGAGCCATCTCCGGGCCCATGAGTCAGGGCCATGGAGTGAGAATGGCTCAGCTTCCTAGAGAATGGATTTGGGGGTGTAGGAAAGGAAGCAGGGGAGGGTGAGCTCAGAGTTCAAGCCAGGCTGTGGGACAGAGAGGCAGAGCTGCCCAGGGTTCTGGCTTAGTTGGCCAGAGGCAGGGGCAACAGAGGTGGTAATGTGTGGGCAAGGTGCTGGCCTCTTGGAGGGGCTAAGATACTCTTAGGAAGTTGGTATTCATGGAGTTTGGTAGTGAGACATTTTTAGGGACAGAGATGGTGGCTGGGTGGCTCAGCCTGTTTGGGGGTCTCAGATCATCTTTGGAAATGAATAAATCACAGCAGTACACGGACTCACGCATTCACCTCTGGTTAACTTGTTGTTAGCAAACAGGCCTGTTATCCAGAAGGAATTGCACCCACATATTCTCTATGAAAACAATAATGGATTTCTGGACCACTGAGATGGCTCAGCAGGTAAAGGCACTTGCCTCCAAGCCTGATGACCTCAGTTCAAGCCCCAGGATCCAACCTACATGGTGGAGGGGAAGAACTGACACCTACAGGTTTGCCTTTGACCTCCACACACGTGCCATGTCCCGTGTATGAGCATAGGAGAGCAAGGTTGGGCTGCTCGGAGCCACCATGACGCCACACCTGGGGAAGCCACCACTGAATGAAGGAGGGACGCTTGGGGCTCTAGGCCTGGGGTTGTCTGTGCCTCCACTGGTTAGAGAAGAGACCTCATGGCACACGGGGCATGGAGTCCTCAGCACCTGAGTAGCTGTCGGCAACGCTTGAAGGCAGGTCTCAGGAAAAGGAGGAGCACGACAAGACCTCTAACCCAACTACACAACAGCAAGTCCAAAGTGACCTGGCCACAGAGCACAGGATCGTATCCCGAGGCCAAAGATGAGTAGACAATAAAAAAGTAGTTGTTGGAAATAAAATCTGGGGTTGAAATACCCCACCAATACTGCATAAAAACACACTGACAGGAGCTGGGTATGATGGCGCACGCCTTTAATCCCAGCACTTGGGAGGCAGAAGCAGGCAGATATCTATGAGTTTGAGACCAGACTGGTCTACATAGGGAGTTCCAGCCCACCTGGGGCTACAGGGAGACCCTGCTTCAATACCCCTCAAAGTTCTGGGGTTAAAGAGACAGCTCAGTGGTTAAGAACACTGGCTGCTCTCACAGAGGACCTGGATTTGGTTCCCAGCACCCTCATGTCAGCTAATAACCATCTGTAACTTTAGTTCCAGGGGATCCGACACCCTCTTCTGTTCTCCACAGGCATTGCACCCATAGGTGAACTTATATGCGGGCAAAACACTCATACACATAAAATTTAAATACGTTTTTAAAGAACACATAAAACATGCAAAGACAAAGGAACTCACAAGGCAACATACTTTTACAGAAGGGTGCATTGCTTCGTCTCAGGAGTGAGCAAGCACACAGAGCAGGTTTTTATCTTGACACAAGAGCACTGTGTCTTTTCCTGCTTGTTTGGGTTTTTTGGGGGGGGGGGAAATTACCAACTTCAGTCTTTTGAAGTTGACTAGTCTTTTTTAAATTATTTTTATGTGTATGCGTGTACTGCATGTATGTAAGTGCACCCATGTTGTGCAATGCCCGAGGAGGTCAGAAGAGGGCATCAGATCCCCTTGAACTGGAGTTGCAGTTGTTAGCTGCCATGTGGGTGCTGGGAATCATACCCGAGTCTTCTGCAAAAGCAGCCAGTGCTCTTAACTGCTGAGCCATCTCTCCAGCCCACGAAATTGACTAGTTTTAAAAGAATTGGGTCATAAGAAATGAAAAAGAAAAGGAGGAAGGGGGTCAACCACTCCTGGCCAGAGTTCTGGGAATCCAGCAGAGCTCCTGTATAATTTACAAAAATGTTTTGCAAGGTATGAGGGTGTTACAAAATAGCATCACAACAGTTACATCCCTGTGATTATTATTTTGATAGAAAAGATTTGAATTTCTATGAATTATTTCCCTCACAGTACATCCTAGTCCACAGGGGGACACTGCAGAAACAAAGGGAAATTCTTTTACTAGTTTGTGTTCCTCCTTCCCTCTGATCAACCACAAAGCAGCTGTTCCCGAGGGAGAAAAATTCATACTGGGCACAGGTGAAGTGAGCAGTTGTCCAGGTTTAATGTTTAACAGGCAAGAAAGCAGAAGTGGTTTGTCCTGGTTTGTTTTCTGTTGCTGTGATAAAACATGAACCAAAAAGCAACTTGGGGAAGAAAGAGTTTATGTGGCTTACATGTCCCAATCACAGTTCACTGAGGGAAACCAGGGCAGGAACTAGAGCACAGACCACAGAAGAACGCTGCTTACTGGCTTCTCCTCTGGCCAGTGCTCAGTCTGCTTTCTTATACAACCCAGGACTACCTGCCCAGGGGTGGCACCACCCATAGTGGGCTGGGTCCTCTGGAAGCATTCAACAATCAAGAACATGCCTCACAGACATGGCCACAGGCCAGTGCAATAGAGGAAATTCCCCAACTGAGGTTCCCTCAACCCAGGTGTGTCAAGTCAACAACCAAAGCTTCCAGCACAGACGTGCAATGTTCAGAGTGGAGAGCAGGTCTAGCCTAGCAGCGGCATAGGCCTTCCTCTGGTACCAGGACGTACAAGTCTGTCATTTCTCCCCCCGTGAGTTCACTCCTGTGGCCATCTGGGGTGGTCTTCCTGGAGTATGCAGCAGCTTCTTAGAAACCATCTTTACCCACAGTTCAGGCTATTAGATGCATTAGATGCAGGAATGTGCATAAAGGTGTAGCCACCCACAAGCCGAGAAGTTTACTAGCAGAGAGGGCAACAGAGTCCTGTGTGTGCCTCAGGAAGGGGCTTTGTGGGAGCTGGTGGGGACTGTTATTTTGTTTTCCCCAGAGCTCTGGCCTTCTGCCTCCCTGGACAGCTTCTTATCTAGCTGCAAGCCTTCTCATTCTTATTTCTCTCCCTCGCGTTCCTGACCTTGCCTTTTTAACGCTAACATTTGTTTTAACTATAACACTTTAACATGTTGAAGACATGACAAGAAAAACCCACTCAAAATGAATCACAGAAGGAAAGACAGAAAGCAAACACCGTATTCCTGATTTATGGGACGTAATGGAGTCAGTTCCAGAAAAAAGGATAGCACAGGAAGAATTCAAAGAAACATTGGCAAAATATTTTCCAACTGGGATGAAAACTGTAAACCTGTGAATCCAACAGCCCAACAACCGCCAAGGAAAGCACAAATGA